TTTTTTTTTCTAAGGAGTTATTGGAGGCTCTAGCACCAAATTGTCACGAGAGTTTTGCTTAGAGACCTGGACAAAGTGTACAAAGTGCGAAAACATTCTGAGTCTCCCTCATGACAATGTTAAACCACAGTACTCTGCTAATTTTAAAAGGTGTTCTTTTGGTTTAGGAGTTTGTGCTGGAAGAATTATTTCGCAAGCTAGAAAATAAGAAGCTTTAGATAATGAATCTTGAAAAGTTCTTCAACTTTTGTCCTTTCTATCATCAACTGAACGATGGAGCTAGTTGTTGGGTGCTAAACAGGTTTGAGTGGGTTTTTCGTTTTCGTGGAGGAATTTGATTAGAAGTAATAAGTGAATTAGCGCCCAGCCGGTATCTGAGAAGCACACTCTCAAGCCCCGTCAAAGCTTTATTTACTTTTTTCCAGTCTTCTGTTTCATCAGCTGTAATTTAAGCTGTGTGGTTCAGTTTTTCACACACCCTGATCAGCTTTAGTGCTTGTGTTCCCTTGACGCGCATCTTTTAGCTATCGTGACCAGTTTGCCATGTTGGCAGATGGAATCGCTCGGGAGAGATATGAGATGGAAGTACGCGAAAAAGCCCAAGAAAAGGTGAGCTCACTCAGTAACATTTCAATGTGAAGACCAATGGTTGAGTCAGCTGCGCAACCATCACTTCACTATTTGTACCTTGGTTGAGAAACCACCAAGGCGACATTTTCTGTACTTGGTTTTGTTGTAATGCACCCTTCAATGTAATGTACCTTTATAAGACATACTTAGCTGCAGGCCGGGATGGCGCAGTAGTTGGAGCGCATGCTTCCCACTACCTTGACGTGATTTAGATTCCCAGACCTGTCTTAATATTTTTATTGAAGTTTTCATGTTGATTCTTATTCTTTCTCTCGGGGATTTATCTGAGCTCTCCAGTTTTCCTCCATCTTCAAAAATTAACTCTTTCGCTCCGACGAAGGGCTAACGCTCGAAACGTCAGCTTTTGTAATCGTTACGGTGGCCAATTTACCATTTCAACTTTGTTGATATATCCAAATTACTCTCACAAGAGCTAGCTTTTAGAAGTCTCCTAAGCCCTTTAACTACCAGAGGTGATTAACAAGTAACTTCTCCCTATGATATCCATACTTTATCCTGCAAACAGGTAATGAGAATACTCAAACTTAGCAGGTANNNNTTTTTTTTTCTAAGGAGTTATTGGAGGCTCTAGCACCAAATTGTCACGAGAGTTTTGCTTAGAGACCTGGACAAAGTGTACAAAGTGCGAAAACATTCTGAGTCTCCCTCATGACAATGTTAAACCACAGTACTCTGCTAATTTTAAAAGGTGTTCTTTTGGTTTAGGAGTTTGTGCTGGAAGAATTATTTCGCAAGCTAGAAAATAAGAAGCTTTAGATAATGAATCTTGAAAAGTTCTTCAACTTTTGTCCTTTCTATCATCAACTGAACGATGGAGCTAGTTGTTGGGTGCTAAACAGGTTTGAGTGGGTTTTTCGTTTTCGTGGAGGAATTTGATTAGAAGTAATAAGTGAATTAGCGCCCAGCCGGTATCTGAGAAGCACACTCTCAAGCCCCGTCAAAGCTTTATTTACTTTTTTCCAGTCTTCTGTTTCATCAGCTGTAATTTAAGCTGTGTGGTTCAGTTTTTCACACACCCTGATCAGCTTTAGTGCTTGTGTTCCCTTGACGCGCATCTTTTAGCTATCGTGACCAGTTTGCCATGTTGGCAGATGGAATCGCTCGGGAGAGATATGAGATGGAAGTACGCGAAAAAGCCCAAGAAAAGGTGAGCTCACTCAGTAACATTTCAATGTGAAGACCAATGGTTGAGTCAGCTGCGCAACCATCACTTCACTATTTGTACCTTGGTTGAGAAACCACCAAGGCGACATTTTCTGTACTTGGTTTTGTTGTAATGCACCCTTCAATGTAATGTACCTTTATAAGACATACTTAGCTGCAGGCCGGGATGGCGCAGTAGTTGGAGCGCATGCTTCCCACTACCTTGACGTGATTTAGATTCCCAGACCTGTCTTAATATTTTTATTGAAGTTTTCATGTTGATTCTTATTCTTTCTCTCGGGGATTTATCTGAGCTCTCCAGTTTTCCTCCATCTTCAAAAATTAACTCTTTCGCTCCGACGAAGGGCTAACGCTCGAAACGTCAGCTTTTGTAATCGTTACGGTGGCCAATTTACCATTTCAACTTTGTTGATATATCCAAATTATTTCGTTACCCCCATCGACGCAGCCCTAAACAGTTTCTTTCGAAACTATCAGCCTTTCTTCAAATATCAGTCCACCGTACCGCTGTGAAGCTTAATGATGACATCCTTAAAACCAATCGCGACTTTTTGTCTTCGTTTGTTTGGTACCTAAAATCTTGGACTGACTGAAAGTTGAGAATTGAAGTGGTTGAAAATTTGTGTTAACGGCTAGTTTCGAAGTTAATCTCCGAAGTAGGGTATTTTAATTTTTTTTATTCAACATTGTACATTGGTGGGGAACGGTAGAATTAACGAATAACAAAATTTCCACCCCCATATGAAAAGTCTAATTTTTTCGATCTTTTCGTTTCACAGGTGGTCCGACAAATGCGACGGGAGTTGCGGCGGAAACTCGAACATGACGTGCAAGAGTTCCAAGAAAATCTTCAACGTGATGAAGACTCGGCTTACTTTCGGCAGTTAGAGGCTGACAGACTAAAGGGCAAATTTCAACTTGCAACTCGCAACGCGTTTTATTGAAAACCAAGTCGCTCGTTTCTTTAAATGCTGTTACTCCTCATATAGTATCGTGGGCGGAGGAGGGAGCAGGGAGAGGAGGAGGCAGGGAGGAGGGAGCAGGCTAATTGGTTATTTGATCTCTAGAGTGTAATTCTACTACTCAAAAAAAATCTGGGTAACAGTCTATTATGCTAAAGAAATTAACTTTTTTCTGATTTGTTATTTGAGTTACGTAAGTTTCTTGCGTTTCTTGTTTCAAAATAAAAATTCTCCATAGTTGCCTGTCGGTGTTTAATGTGCATTTTTCATATGATGCTGGAGGACGTAATGGTTCCTGCTGGCCCTTAGAAGGTTTATGCATTTTTCGGCGTAATCTCTTTCCCAGAGGTCATGCTCTCGCAATTTCTTGCAGGCTGGAAACGAGGACTGAGAACGTGACATCTGGGAACGAGATTGATCAAACAGTTACTCGCGCATGCTCAGGTGATGAAGAAATAATAGCCACTCGTCCCGATGCTTTTTTCGCTCTTTTCCTATCCCAACAAACACTATATGGATGGGCAGTAGTTGAAATACTCTGTGTATGAATGAGCGTTAACCAAAAATAAGCGTTTTAAAGTAAGGAGTAAAATACGTAGAACAGATTTATCGACGGCTTCATCAAAATCTGCAGCTTCTTTATCAATTTTCAGTTGTTGATGGTTCATCGTGTGACGCATGTTCCATATCTCAGCAGGGTACCGGTAAATCCTGCAGTGATACCACAGGGATGGTGCAAATCGTGTACATCTTTTAATTTCCAATAGGACGGACAAACATAGTTAATTAGAGTTATTACTAGCTAATGTTATTTGTCGCTGTGAGTGAATTTTTCATGCTAACCATTTGGGAAGCTTCTTTCATTTCTGTTGATGGCTACAGAGGATTTTATCGGCTGTAACTTGGATGAAACAGATACAGACGGGAACAAAAGATACAAAATAATTACGAGATTTTCGTAACCGGAAAATTGGCTTCCCTCTAATGACAACTTGTTTAGAGGTGATGCTGTTAGAACAGATGAGGGTCCCCAGACAACGGTTTTTTTCCCAATCTGAATGTCTGTTTATCTCTCTGTGATGTATTGGCGAACCCTTTGCGCAGTCTTGAAGCCTGCCTAGCTTATCACGATCTTTTATAGCATTGAAACAATTCCTCAGCCAAACGGCGCTGAAGAGGGGGAGGAATAACAAGTAATAAAAGATCAATGAAATAAAAGATAAACAAGTTGAATAAAACGGAACATATTGTAATGAATCCTTATCACATTTTTACATACGAGAACAATGACACCCAACCTAGCGAAAACAGGAATATATACAAAAGGAATTTGGAATAAAACGATGCTTCCGTTGTTTTGGTTTGTACGGAAGATCATACTGAGAAACAGCCGTTCGAGAGTCACAAAAGCATTTTTTGATTAGAGCTTCTGAAACTTTTTCATTTGAGTTATATTACATCAGAAGTTGCGTTTTACTGTTTGTTTATGATGTCCTTTAAAACCAACGAAACCTGAGTGGCTTAAAAGCCGCCAAGGACCACACTTCTGCAAAATAGACTAAATCAAAATACATCCCTACATTGAAAGAGGATTTTATTACAAGTAGTTAGAAAGATAATAATAAAGTGTCAAAATTGATTAGCGTCATAATGTTCAGCACGGCATTGAGTTCTCATTTGGCAATCAAAGTCGACAGAAAAAGTGATTAATCTCCTAGTATTTGTTTAGTCCACTGCATGCAATAGCTGTCATCATGCGTGCTTATTATAATTCACGTTTCTCTCTCGAAAACTACAAAAACTCTTTTAATTTCAAGGCTATCGTCTTTCTAAGGTACAATGAAGCACTGAAAGTCACTGATATAGCCATGAGATACATCGTTGATTCATTTCAGTTTGTGATGAATGTTTACAGATATATGAGTATGGCAAGTGTTTCATCTTTCTTTTACAGATGCCGATCACTTTCGTTTTCGCGTTAATATGTTTGTCGTTACCGGTAAAAACCCAGCCAGAAGAAGATGGTGTCTTGTTTGAAATCGAAGAAAACGTTTTAGAATTCGATGGAAACCCTATTTGGCAAGGAAAGACCAACTCTTTAATGGGCTGTTCTCAAACATGTGCGAGGCAACTAGCTTGTAAACGCGTCATTTTTGAAGCGAACAAAGGAACATGTGTGCATCTCGGTGAAGGTCAAACTCACTTGGCAAATACGCCTGCCAAACAAGGTGGAACCTTCTATTTGAAAAAGGTAATTTAGAGCTACCTCGGTCAGTTGCTTGTTATATGGGGTACGCAGATGAGCTGCGGCTATTTCAACTTACGGTATTGCTTCTTTGTCGGACACGTTGAAAGTCTTCCTCAAAGACTTTCAACGTATTATATCTTATATAGGTAACATTTACTGATCAAAAACAAGCTGATTTTTTCTTTTTCTACCAGCTCGGCTGAATCTTGCTAGTTTCATGCGTCGCCTCTAGTACCTTTGACTGATTCTCCTCTCGGTTGTAGGAATATTGTCTGTGACAATGACGCGAACAAAAATCATAAAAACAGTGCATCCAATGAAAGTTGGTCTTATTTAAAGTAAACATGCGGCAATGGTATTTCATCCGTAAAAGTCTTGATTCCGAAGTAGAATTAGAATTCACAGACCTCATTTAGCTTGATGGCCTGGTTGGTTGGAACGTTCTACTAATATTGCAAGACCCTTTTGGGGAATCTCGAATCATGTTGAAGCCCAATTTCGTCTTTTTTTCAGGTCTTATTTTCTACATCTAGTTTAAAGAAAAAATGGTGAAGCAACAGCGGTGATCTTAAAACGAAACATTTCGACTCTGCACATCAAATATTTGACTTTCACAAATATGAGACTGTAATATATCGCTAAAAATAAAATGTATCGTCCTACGCAGTATTTTTTTTTTGTTTTTGTTTTTTTTGCAGTAATCTTGCTTTAAGTTTGACGTGGGCGAGAGAATCACTTACAATTTGATTCGTAAAACTATTTTAATAGTTTCAGTAAATGTCTTATGGAACTTAATCTTGATTAATGATTATTTGCACAGATCACCACAACAGGAATCTACAGCTTATTAGGTGAGTGATATAGAATTGGCCATCAAGACAAATCCTGCTTCAGTCTGGAGAGTAGCTCAGCAGTGACACATTCGACCACAAAATCAGCTCGTTATGGACCCAGATTTTTCCTTTGTCCCACGCTCGCGTCAGATATTTCCTTTACGAGACTCAAAATTTTCCATCTTTCCACTATTTAGTATTCTTCTGATCAGGTAATCTTTTCTTCTGATACATTCCCATACTATACAGGTACCTCTAAATCGGCAGCAGTTGCCTCGTGCCAGACCCTTCATAGCCAATCTCAGTCGGGTGTTTATTGGATTGATCCTGACGGTGGATCCCAGGTGAACGCCTTCAGAGCATACTGTGACATGAAAACCGATGGCGGAGGCTGGACTCTAGTGTGGAGCTATTCCTTCACTAATTACGGTGCTTTTACTAGTGAATCAAATGCAGTTACACCGAGACCCAACTGGCAGGTCACCCCGGAAGTGAATGTCCCGATATCAACAACTCCTCCTATAAATGAAACAAACTTCAACGCCATGAATTTCGCGCTCTGGAAACTACTCGGCAGACAAATCCTTATCAAAAGTAACATAAATAACTGGCTGGTGTGTCATCCAGGAACTGGAAGCTTGGTTGATTGGCAGGAAGGGGAAGTCAGCTGTAAGGTAGTTAAACACGTGACAGACCAGTGTTTAAATGCGTTGGCGCCTTCAAAAATATCACCAAGTAAAGGTTATGGGCCAAAACTTTACAGAGATAATGAATTTCACAGCCTTTACTATTACTTCGATGGATACACTAGCAAAAACTGGCCATCTCATGATCCTTGTGGTACGGGCAAGAGCAATCATTTAAAAAATGTCGTTAATCCACATGGAAATATTTACATTCGTGCATAGCAAAGTTACAGGATGTAGATGTACTGAGGTGGTAAAAGTACCTCCTGAACTACTTCAACTTTAATAAACAAAAAAAATGACGGCAAAAATATTGAGGGAGCAGACGTGGTCGATTAGGTTCAGGGATCGGCCTTAAAAAGCACACTAAATGCGACCCTTGGTGATCAGGTTGTTCTTAGTGATACCCCCGAAGCCGATGAGAATCAACTGAAAATTTAGCACAGGTTCCGATCGTTTAAAGATGTAAAAGCTCCATGAATAATATTTGGCTTTGAAGAGAGTTATTAATCTCAGACGTTGCATCTCGTTTATTTTAAAAATATTGACGAGTGACTCCTCCCTTTTCGATATATTTTCCCTCTAATATATGAAAGTTCTGTCTCTAGTTCCCAATGTCCCATTAACATCTAATGATTTGTGAGATGGAATTCTATAACACGGTGGGGCAGAGATATAAGAATTAAAAAATCTCTCACTGAAATATCTCCGTGACAATTTGCACGACTAGGCTCATTACATAATTTCTTGAGAAGAGTAGGAAATTCTTCAATTTTTCTCCTTTCTTCATCCAGCCCTCTAATCCGCTTTTCGCGCTGATCCAAAGCAACACCTGTTCGCAGATTCGCGGGAAAGGAAGGGATGAGAGAGTTCCCAATGTATTCATCATGCGAGCACTCATAAGAAAGAGTTATGAAACAACAGCAACGATTAAAACAGCAGCAAAAGTCAGTCATAATGTTTTATTTACAAATATGGCAGGCAGTCTGAGCGGGTCACGAGCTTAAATATATTCAACCACATCGTGAAAATTTCTGCAACTGACACGAAATATCCAAATGTCGGTTAAATGCCATAAATCATACATAAATACTCTACATTTTCAACATGTTCTGTCGACGTTTCCATTCAAAGACCAACAAAGCGTTAGAGTTTCCGGTAGGAAATAACTGTTATTGTATACAACAAATTTTTGATCGCTTTTTGCCGAACGCAATTAATTCTCCAGACTTGCCATGTGGTTTCCAAGCTTCACGCGGGATGATAAAACGATGGTCACCATCTATTTTTTTGTTCACAGCTGTAGTGTTATTATTAATAGTTGGCAACTGAGGAATATCTGAAATAAACAAATAAATACATGTCCCTTCAATTAAGACTATTTATTAAATCATGCACTTAATAGCAGTAACAATAAAGGAAGTATCCCAAATTCAAGTATGATTTTAAAACCTTTAACCTACAATTACCAATTCCATTTACCAATCGAAAATAAATTTCGGCAGTACTCTTAAGCTTTTTTACGCAAACGAGAACCTCACCTTCTTCGCCAACTTCTATCGCCTTAAGTTTCTTCAGGTACTCTTGAATTTCATGAATCTCTGGCCACTTCCTCGTGGTTCTCGAAGATTTTCGTGGTTTAAATGGAAGTTTTGTTCTCACAAATGTGCTGCCGGGTTTATGCTTCAATGTCTCGGCTGCCAAGTAAAACTGTGCCTCCTGGGGTTGCAAAAACCAGATTAACTGGCTTTTATCGTCCTTAAACTCTACCCTTTCATCGTCGAGCGTGTTTATTTCCTGCGGTATAAAGTAAAATTAATTAGCGTAGTAAGTAAGGGCAATCACTGAGTGTGGTTTAACTTATATGCATGGCTTTGATGAAGACTGCCATTCAAGCCATGAAATTTTGACCCTGAAAACTTCCTCGATCTGGGTAACAAAAATATATTCGTTTTGTTGATATTGGTGATGTTTTCAACTTTTAAACTTTTCATACAAATAAACAGCATGCGATTTCCACTCTACTGAGGAGCCCCAGCAAAGATGAGGCATAAAAAACAGAGATGTAAATCTAAAGCTGAAGCCTATTCGTACTGACTGAGCAATGAATGAATTTTCTTTCTTCGTCCTGCCAAGCACAAGCTCACTAAAGGCATGCAATTCATAGCAATAAGTTTGTTTTTTCCTTCAAAAATCCGGGTTATTCTTGAAACTTTAATCATTACCCACTAATGTGATATAGCTGTTGTAGTTTTGTTTGCGACATACTGTTTTGAAAGTTTTTTCACTTTTTTTTCTTGGCGGGGCGAGAATAAGTGTTGGTGGCGGGGGGCATTTAGGGAGAATAGCCATTCGAAAGGCCTCTTATATCCTCTACAAACATCATCCAGAAAATAAAACAAGGTGTTGGCTTCCATTCACTAAGACGCGATCACCAGGGTAGTTAGCAAGTTGAGAAGGGCTTCCTCGGCCTCTCAGGCGGGTGACCTTATAGTTGAAACTAGAGGCTGTTACATACTTCTGATCTGTTGAGACCCAAAACGTTTGATGTGCTTAGAGATTCCAACCGGCAGTTGACCTCGTTTATCAACAAACCTTATTCAACTCAACTGCCTCTTTTAAGATTTTGCTGGCTGCGTTAGCTATTTCCTGAAAATTAATCAGTAAAAGAAGTAAGCAAAAATCAACACACTTTTTATGATATTTGAAAAATATAAGCAAAACCGGCAACCAAAGAACGGTTAGATATCGTCAACTTCTCGAATAAAGGTTCTAGCGAGAATTTTGTAATTGGAAAATTTGCTGATGTCTCATAAAACGTAGTGACTTTCCGTTTGAAACTATAATTGCATGCATTCCATGGCAGAACATGACAGAAATCCATTTCATGCAGCCGACACCTCTCTGGAATTACACCCTCCACTCTCATTTTCTATTTGTTACAGGCTGAAACTATGGACCCGAACCGACAGAAGAGCCATGCGAGTATAGAGTTTAAGAGCACTAACCTCAAGCTTGACGTCGAACTCACGTGGTCTTCCTGTAGTCTTCATTACTACTCCAATTTCGTCATAGGTGACGTCATGGAGACTGAACGGTGGTTTAGCTTCGTCTGCGCTGAAATATCTGTTTTCCCAGGCCCCAGTGTGTGGATCAAATCGGTACTGAGAATGATTAAGATATATGACTAAGTTTGTAATGTCCAATAAAGTAACGAGGTGAACTGCAATCAAAACATTGTAACAATGGAAGCCTTTAAAATAGAAAAAAGCGAGAAAACCTGGTTCCCCCCTAAATTTTACCTCGCTCCTAGTAGGTGGCTCTGTAGCTTGATTAGCTAGCAGCAGCACCCAGTATGTACCCGAGACCAAAAAGCAAAAAAAAACTACTGGAAAATAAGGCACAAGTTGATTAGCTGTGCTGTGAGGATCAATTGGTCTAAAGCTCACTTGTTTGTTCTATATCTCCAACTTTTCAAATATGATTTTGTCTTATATTCTTCGTAAATGGACAAATTTTACATCTTATGCAACAGCAGCTCGTAGTGAAGAGAGCTTTTAAACTAGAATATACTTATTGCCTTAAAATCGTCATCAGAAACTCATCAGTTCATCCCCAGCTGTTTTTGTTTAAAAAAAATGATATCTCTTTTGTTATCTTGCAAGTACATTTTCTTTAGTAAGGAAGAGAAACAGATGTTATATCAGGAACAACTGATAGCTGTTGTATTTTTCATTTATCATCACCTTTTGTTGAATGATGTATTAAAATCGTGGGCAGAGGTTAAGCACAATAACCTCAGGGGACTAAAGAGTCACTACTAACCTGTGGTAACAATTTCCAGCCATGTTTGGCTATCATGTCTACTGCTTCTAACACAAAATGCACTGTCTCGTCATCCATGAAGTAAGGTAGATTGACTCTCGCAAATCCCGGTCTGAAAACAATAATTCGGTAACTTGAGTTCAAAGTGTCGATCAACTACAACATTTCTTTATTCAAAGCAGGAACTTCTGTAAGCCATCATCATTCTTTCTGGTTTTCAAGAAACAATATTTCCATCAAATCACTTACCTTGTTTCAAAAATTTTTTTATATACTGATCATACCATACGGCATGAACTAGCCAAACATGTCACGAGTTATATCGGCCATAAAAACCGTCTCGCGCGTCAATATCATGAGTTACAGTATAGCAGGAACTGTTGGACAAATCAAGTGCTGAGGACTCTTGTTAATAATCTCTGTGAATCTTCTAAGATACGGAAAGATGTTTTACTTACTTCATGATTTCCAAAGGTTCTTTGCATGAGAGTTCTACGTCTTCGCTGAAACAAGAAAGTGATCATTCGTCCGTTATAGCAAAACATTTGTTGTAATTAACGGATTGATGGATTAATGATTTCACTTGAATTTTTTTTGTCCTGTCGTGTAAGAATCGTGCCCGAGATTAGATTTAACTCACTTTGATTTAACTGCAGTCTATCCGTACAATGAACAAAAAGTTCATGAACCATTGAAAGACTGTTCAGTTATCAGTGGTAAACTCAACTTTAAAGCCATTAGTTCAATAACAAACGATTCTCCGCTGCGAAACTTTTTCATGCAACCTTCTCATAACATTTTCTTTTCTGTGATTAAAAAGGGTAGCAATATTGATCTCCATAGATGTGCTTAAATCAAGAGACTTACTTTTCATGAGACTCAAGAAACCAAGTAAATTTCCTTGCTATAGTTTCGTTTATTCCCAAAAGATCCTGTAAATGTTTAGAGTCAACAAAAATGATTAATAATGTCAATAATGGCATTATAGGACCGAGTCAATGGTGGATCTGAGGAGGGGGGCGTTCGGGGGTTCCGAAGGGGTCCCCCCCATACTCATGCTTTGTAAACTATATAATTTGGATATATCAACAAAGTTGAAATGGTAAATTGGCCACCGTAACGATTACAAAAGCTCATGTTTCGAGCGTTAGCCCTTCGTCGGAGCGAAGAAACGTCAGCTTTTGTAATCGTTACGGTGGCCAATTTACCATTTCAACTTTGTTGATATATCCAAATTATCTCGTTACTCCCACCGACGCAGCCCCAAACAGTTTCTTTCGAAACTATCAGCCTTTATTCCTTTGTAAACTATACCTGTGCATAAGGTCCTGCGCATGCGCATCCTCCGCGAGCCTGGATGCCATAAAGATCGTTGAGTAGTACAGAAACAAAATTGTGATGCAAAATCTTTCCACTGTCTGGATGATGTATCAGCATAGAAAATATTGGCAGGCGACGAGCATTCTCGTTCCCCAAAATTGTTATGTTTGGATTTTTTCCCCAAACTTGAAAGGCATTTCTACGTAGAAATGTAAATGGTAAGCAAATAAGGTGTGTTAGCAATTGAACAAGCTTTTGTTAACAATTTACTCCTGACCAGTTTAAGTTTTTATCTACCTGCATAATTCTTCTTCTCTGTCTTCAATAGTCTTTATCCCCACAGACTGCAATAAAAAATAAAACAGCTTGTTAGGTTCATTCAAAAATGTCTTATAAATGCAGGATGTTTGACTATACTTCCATTTTAAACTGAGGTGAGTGCATCACTGCTCATTTTACTTCCTCCTCGTTGATGTGCGCTGTAACTTCATCTTCAACTTCTATCTCGTGGTTTGACGGAAATCTTGCTGAACAGTGCATTATGATACATTAATTAGAACGAATCATCCTGGTCTTTCGTCATGTTGTCGCTCTGACAGAACCTATACTGTGCCCTGGCTAGAAGCGTACCATTCTTTATCGACATAACAGCGTTTATATCATACCTCTTTAAGTTGAAAGACCATACCAGCCCGTATTGACTCTACTATGGCTGGTGTTCCACCTTCTTCTCTCTCTTCAATGTCTTTTAAATACAAATGCGTATCACGTGTCACCTGTAGTAAATAGCAGAAAAACTGTAATGTCAGTGAGGGATTCCTGAACGGTGGCTGCAATAGACATAAGAAAAGGGAAAGATGTAGCAGTATTTAAAATACTTGAGGAGAGATATAGCTAGGTCGAGGTGTTGTGACAAAATGATCAGGCACGTAACCGGCAGCTTTTTTCAATGGGAGATGGTTTCCACTAGACGGTTATATAATGTCGAGAGGTCTGGGTGCAAGATCTAGCCGAGCCAGTGTTTTCCAATGCCTTACTTCACTCTTACAAAGCCTCTCCAACCGGGAATACAAATGGATATTAGCAAGCTATTAGGAAAACTAACGTCATCCTAGGGGTAACCTGCAATATATTAGCGTTCGATCCAAGGAGAGGCAAAGCTAAATGGGACCGATTGGAAATAGATCACTGCGCCCAGTGACTTCCTTGTCAGGTCGCCATTACTTTTTCCAGACCAACATCATATACACGTAATCTGACATGTTTTACAAAGCATGATGTATGTTAACTTACAAAGAGAACCGTTCCTCCTCCACATCCACCGGGCACAGGATTTCGAAAGAGCCTTTTTTTAGCAATTAGTAAGCCTGAAGGAAAACGTATTTTCCTGTGTGAAACAGTGTTCAGTACAATATTGACGAACTTGAACAAGAATCAGTGTAGACAATTTTTGTTTTCAAATTTTCTTGTACGTATCCTTTTTTGCAGTATTACCAAAATTATGCTACCTAGCATCGAAGATGTCTGGTTAAAAAGGGGACTGCAAAAACGGTGAAATCTTGCTCACTTAAAGTGTAGCTAAACCCCAAATTTTTTTTCGCTTAACGAAATAAGCGTACTTTTTGGAGTATTTCTGTGAAAATTTTTTTTTATTTGCTCAAATCTTCAATTTTCTGTGCCCAGTCAAAATACGGAAAATCGGCCGCCATCTTGGCCCACGACCTAGTTTAAAGAGAAATGGTTCTAGCGGGTAATGTGACGTCAAATAAGTCAAATCGAGAACACGAAAGTCTACATTTCGCACATTTTCACTTGTTTGGGAAAGTTGTAGTCGATATTGTCCGAAAATATGTCGACTGAGTGTGTTGTAGGAGGATGTAGCAACGTGCGAAATTTGCAAGAGGGCATCGCGCTTCATACATTCCTCATACAACACACCTAATCGGCATATTTCGGACAACCTTCCTAAACAAGTGAAAGTGTGTGAAATGCAGACTTTCGTGTTCTCGATTTGACGTCACATTACCCGCTAGAACCATTCCTCTTTAAACTCGGTCGTGGGCCAAGATGGCCGCCGATTTTCCGTATTTTGACTGGGCACAGTAAATTGAAGATTTGAGAAAATAAAAAAATTTTTGCACAGAAATACTCCAAAAAGTACGCTGATTTCGTTAAGCGAAAAAAAAATTTGGGGTTTAGGTGCACTTTAAAAACTGCTATTGTTTTACACAGGCCTAGCCAGTTATTAACATTTTGTTGTCAGTGCGATTACACCGAGGAGAGTTACGTATGCAAATATGACCAGCCCGATCAAGGGAAATGAGAAATAAATTCCATCTTATTCCGAAATAATTTTTTAAGTTAATGTTTTGCTAAATGATGATTAGCACAGTTAAGTTTAGTTAGTTTCCTGTAATGCAATTGGTTATTTTTTCCTAAGTGACCCTGATAATAACAATGAAATGCAATGCCCTATAAGCAACCGACACAAGACAGTGTTGTTGCATGGAATAGTTTTACCTGGAGTTCCAGGTCCCCCTACAAATTTGTGAGGAGACAGAAAGACGGCATCTTTGTACCTAAAATAAGAAAAGTACTATTTACTTAACGAATCCCAACTTTTCACTATGCGTTCATTGTTTGCAGGGATTAAAATTAAATATCGTTGAAATAGGAATCAAAGTGTTTGTTTGTTATTATTTCCCTCGTTCTCACTGGAAGATAAGGCTCCTTTATTGTACCACAATCTAAACAGAGCTCCTACTTCAATTTAATTTAATTTAATTTATTAGATTCGCCGACAGGCAGGGACACCGCAACAGCTTGGGCCAATTACTGCGGGCCCAGTAAACAACCCACCCATCCCATCCCAGGGAAGGACATCCATCACACAGTAATCTCGTGCGTGGGAAATTAACGTCTCCATCTTCATCTCCATATCTCATCTAGGGCACTCCTCAATTCACTTGCAGAACTCAACAATTGGTGCCTCTAGCCGTGGATTGAATTGTTGTTCACCATGCGAAAAACACAGAGTGTCGTCAATATCCAGAAGAGCAGCTTTAAACCCGCAAAGAAGTCTGTGATAAAAATTGCACTCTGCAATCAGTCAAAAATACATGTGGAACCTGCACGTAATCATTAAGAACAAAACGTGCGGATTTTAGTCGGTCAGGTGAATCAGTTTTCACTTTGTAGAAGTTAATTAGATAGGTGTCATTTAGACATGGTAACTTTTTCAAAGCATGTGATTAGCGATGACCTTCCTCACCCGGTGAGTGTTGGGTTCATGTCAATTTTGAGATATGGACCTGCCGAGGCGTAATCCCAGAATGACAAGGCACCATATTTATGACACAGTTCAGCCACCGCTACAGTGTCTGTTAGGATCCCAGTGACATTAGAGGCTGCTGAAAACGCCACGTACATATTGTATTCTGCTAAGCGATATTTCTATAATCGGATAAAAGGAAATATGCATTATAATTGCTAAAAGCAATAATCTGAGAAAAAACAAACTTATCACAATTAGGAACCAATGAAAACCGTCAAGAAGAATGGCGCGCGAAGTTGTGAGTGATCAGGTCGCCGTTGCTTTTAGTTTGGCATCTGATTAATCGATTGAGAAATCACAGAACAAAGCAAAACAAACCAAGGCAGCGTGTAATAACTTAAGGTCATTGATTCCTCAGTATTGCACTGCGCACCCTTTACTATGCATAAAAATCACGTAATCAGGCGAATAAGCGCACGTGGGAACAATTAAGGAAAGTTTAAAAAAAATTGCTCTACAACTCTTTTTTTGGGAATCATCCTAAAGTTTTTAGTTAAGAGCCGTATATTATTACCCTAAGTTGTGCTTCAAGCATCTTCATATTGACTGTGCCTTGGTCATTATCATGTATTCTGATGATCTAGAATGAAAGAACAATAAATAATAGACGACATTATAAAGATAGAAAGTTCTTGAACGGTCCTGAGATGATGGCCACTGCGTAAAACAATTCATCAGTGGAAGATGGCCATACCGTTAGTAAATGTAAAAGCCACTCCTGAGATAATAATTATATTTAACAATTATATTATTCGCCTCAGGTTCGGTGAATATCGTCGAATAATCCCCGAGACTTCGTCTCGGGGATTATTCGACAATATTCACCGAACCTGAGGCGAAGAAACAGAGAAATTTCTAAAATCATAACATTTTTAGTAACATTTATTAACATTTTATTTTAACATTTTATATAAACCGCGTGGAGCGGTTTTTATAGCGTCATATAAGGAACCGCTCGACCAATCAGATAGCTGGAAACTCTTTGCTTAGCTCTGAAATTATACTAAAATACATATATCTTATTAACCAAGCGCGAGGGCCGTACTGAGAGAATATCGGCCCGAGGTCTTGACAGTACGGACCGAGCGCAGCGAGGTCCGTACAAAAAAGACCGAGAGCCGATATTCTTCCAGTACGGTCCCGAGCGAGCTTGATTAATAAGAGATTTATTACACGACTGAAGTTCAAAGGGACACAAGTGCGGTATCATTCGGAACCATTCGGGACAGTGCCCGGTCCAATACTGAGAGAATATTGACCGGCCATAGAGCATTTTGATTGGTTGATTTTAGTTATAGGCCCTCTGACTTCCCGAGTCGTGTAATAAATGATATTATATGACTTCACATTCTTTTTTATCGTAAATAAAGGGGGTAAGTTTCTAAAGAAACTGCGTCGGTGGGAGTAACAAGGTAAGGAGGTTCTATCAACTAAGCTGAAATTATTAATTGGCCACTGTAAAGGATTAAAAAGCTGACGAATTGAGTGGTAGCCCTTTGTCAGAGAAAATGGAGGAATTGTGAGTGGTGTGTGTATATATATGCAGGAAGTGCAGCTACGCTATTGGTGGGAACATGGTGACGAGATAAACAAGAATGAATTGGTAGAATGAAAAGCGTTCGTTGATACCCATGGGATTAAGAGTGCCGATTTCAAAGATGAACTTTTGTTCAAGAGTTTGGCGGCTTTCAGAGCTACCTAAATGTAAGGAAAGGCCGCAGATTGCCATATGCTGCTTAGAATTATCAGGTAAATTTAAGTGTCTAGCGACTGGTTATGATACGTCCTTGTCACTCCTTTCTACGTCGCGACTATTCTTTTTTCTTACGACAAGAATAAAATTACCCTCGCTCCTGTTTCTTTCCACGGTAAGATATTTGAGTGATGTTCAAACGGACCCACAAACACTACCTGTTTGAAAGAAAAGATCGAAATGCTCGAGAAAGTGGCCGAAAATGAATGCCAAGTGACATCTTTCATTCAAACGGAAATACACAAATCGAAAATGTGCAGGTAGATACTCACGGTTTTGTCAACCACTTTTCCTGTTAACTGTAGAGCATGGATTAATTTATGAATAGCCCCAGTAGCTCCACTACCTGTAAACACAACTACATCCTCCTGTCCGGAATTGACGCACTTTTTGATGATTTCCCTGCAATAGTTATCATCATATGGCTCATTAGCCGTTGTTATATTTTTAACGACGTAAAAAGGTGTGATAGCGACTCACAGTATTATTTAAATTCAACGTGCTCCAGTGCGTATTTCTAGAAACGATCAGGGCAGTTTCGGACTCCTCTATTTGTTTTAGCTATTCGATAGCTATATTTAAAGGAATGTTAAAGTTTCCGGATTTCCGATTACTTCCCTAAGCAGTTTCCTCCTTATGCAGTTCGTAATTGTTTTTCCTTAAGTATGCTTTGCTTTCTCTCACTACCTTCTAAGACAATCCGCACTCAGCAAAGCCAACGTTTCTGAGCGTTCGCGGTTTCCCTTGCTTGTAATGCTTAATGAAGGATCTTTATTAAGATGGTTTTGCACCGCAAAAGCGTTACGTTTATTGCCCTTGCTCAGTCTTAAGCAGCCGTTGACGTTGCGTAGGCTTGGAGAAAGAAGTCCAACAAGTAAAGAAGTGTAACACTTTTATCGTCTTTGCTGACTGACTTACCGTGCTTCCTGTCTAAATCTTGTTGTTTGTCGTGACGTCACACTCGTAGTTGTGTGCGTGTTGGCGTAAAAAGGATAAACAAACTCCCTGATGTACCTTTCGATAAATCGAAGGGGCCTGGTGACAAGTAATAAACGTGAAATCAATTTAACCAAGTACAACGAGGAGAGAAGTACAAAGATTTAAAAGCCTCGTTTACTGTGATTCTGCCACAGAAAATGTCGATCTAATCCTCTTTACTACAGATGTCTTACATGCTCTCCGTTCTCTAATCAAGCACTCGCTTTATTTAGTCACCAAAAGTCAACCGTAAAGTCTTCCACATCCAGAATGTTATTCTCACCCACAGCTGTTACGATGATATTTTCTATAACTGAGCGAAATGTTTATAACTTACTTCCCAGACGCGGTGTAATCACAATAGATAACTGATGAGAGAAACAAAATGTAGCGAAGATATTAGGGATTACGTTTATTGCTACTAAAAATTTGAAAAATTAACAACATTCTATTTCGTAAGTCATGCAGATCAGGCACTTAAAGACATGGTAGACATGGTAGACCTTCGCGGGCAAATTATTTATTTATATACACATATATATATATAAACAGACTAGGAGACTAGGAGAAGTCGTGGCTGTGAAAAAGTGCTCGATGCGGGTTTCAGAGCGTTTCAATAGTGGTTATAAATTAATGACAGGAAGATCGTTTCACCATTACTCTGAGTTTCACGCTGCTTGCGCTGCGATCGTCAGACGGTTTATTATCGATGGAAAACATACCGTGCTATAAAGTCAAGTTATAAATCGAAATTATAGTTAAAATAATAGGAAGCAATTAAGAAGACAAAAGGACTGTTTCTATTGGTTTCGCAAGTAGAACTTGTTTCATGGCGGCACTTGGAAATTAGTTCTGATCGTTTGTTTAATGAAGTGGATTTGTCCGCGGTGGTAATGAGGAATTTTTCGGCAAGGCAAAGGTTGCATGTTCTTGAATTTCCTTTGGAAGATGCGGCTTTGTGGATTGTCGACCAATGAATGGAGTAGGGAGTGTTGGTGCTGTTAAGTTCCAAAATGTATTTGGATAGCCCGGTGCTGGTAGCGTAGGCTTTCTTTCGGAATGAGAAGGAATGCTGCGTGTATCTTTGTTTAAAAGAATTTTCTGTTAGGCCGATGTAGTTTTTGCCCGTTTGGTCTTTGTTTGTGGTGACTTAAGCCTTGTAAATTAAGGAGGACCACCAAAGTCAGCTACAGTTGTATGGACAACATGGATTCTATTATAAGGAGGCACAATCAGAAAATCCTGACCCCCCCCCCCCCCAGCCAAGACCGCAAGTGCAACTTGCAAGCCTGTCCCTTACAGAACAACTGCCTCGCTTACAGAACAACCACTAGACCCTTTCGAAACAGTTCTGTAGTGCGAAGTTTTCATTTTATTTTCCTATACAATTGATTACAAAGCTCCATGATTGTAGAGCACTCTCCGATTCGAGGATAAAGTTTTTTACGTTTCTGTACGCTCCACAAGTTGAGCACTCTATTATCACGAGTCGACATGGAAAAGTTTAATTTTAACTGCTCAACCAAGAACATACCAATACCGACTAGCAAGGAATACCTGAAAAGGCTGATTGAAATGACGGAGAAGCTTATCAACAGAATGCGCTGGCGCGCCTACCACTTCCTTAATCCATCATCAGTATCCGGCCACCGCGAAACATCCGGTTTTAACTCAAAGAAAACACCACCGCAAGTGCCTGAGCTTAATGAATTCGAAGCTAAGATGACTAACCTGATCCGAAACATCGAATTCAAAGCTCCCCGCCCTTCCGAATTCCAGAAAAAATTATCAGAGCACGTCGATTCCATCAACAAGGGCAGTAACCTGTATCTACCAGCAGACAAAACCACGAATTTCTACAAGATGAATGCCAACGATTATAAATCACTGCTGGATAAAAACATAGACAAGGAGTACAAGAAAGCCCCCGCTAAAGCAGAAACACATATTAACACCGAAGCGAAAGATTTCACCCAAACCCTAAAGATAGACGATAGAGTTGAAATGTTGGCACCTATATATATTTATTTTCATGTCAAACTAAGCATTACTATTTTATCGATATTTTCATAGAAAAATTTTGGTAAAATATTGAAAACGCACGCGAACTATTTGCAAAAACGTAATTTCGGACTCAATTATTTGACCCGGCAAAGTGTGAATAGCCAATTAGAAGATGTCAATAAAAATGACTTCCGAAGGGTTTCTTGCGGCAAAACAACCTGGCCTTTGATTTCAATCGCATAAAAATATCTAGATTTCGGTTGCACGACGTGCTATGTTTCTATGTTTAAATCTAGAATGTGAATAGAGAAAGATAAAAAGGAGAAGAGTCTATAGGTGGAAGTAAAAAAGAAGCCTGGCTGTCAGCACAAAAAAGTATAGAAATTAGGCGCGGAATGGTGGAAGAATGTACTGAAACGGATAAAGGCTCGTGGTTTGTCTTCGTTGCTCACACTCAATGAGCAACCATTAAGTTCTGCCACGAAGTGCTAAAGCCGCTTTTAAGCTGACAGAAATCAAAATTGTCTTTCGGAAGAATTGAACTAAAGGTCTGTTACGGGTAACTGTTGGATAGTTATCCACGAAAAATGTTTTTGCTAAGAGAACTGGAACTGTGCAGAAGTTATTTTGTGCGGTCAGATTTGATATGCGATTAATGCGCCCAAAGAAACATCGTCCATTTCCGATTGTCGCACCTCATTCGGTTTACGATTAGATAGAGCTAAAACGAAGTACCTTTTTCCGATTGGTGCATTTCATAACCTTTCCATTGATATATAGCTTATGATAGTTATGCTTCAAATAGCGCGTTAAAAAATCTTTTCGCGAAGGATACCCGTGAAGGTCTACCGTATCCTTAAGGTTACTTCCCACCCTCGAGGATGTCATTCGGGAAAAAATTCGTACGCGCACTGATTTCAAGAAAACCCTAACAAACTATACACGGCATCAAAAGAAAGTTTAATAAATGCATCAATCTTTGAATGCTGTCCTTCAGTAACATTTTGGGTAAAACAATAAAAACACTAATGTGGCCTTGAATTACTGTAAAATATTGTAAAATATTGTAGAAGTATTCCCTCTTTACGGATGATGTTAGTGATCTTGTGGTCTAGCCATTCGGAGATGTAGGGGATCTTCAGGTATGACCATTTTTTCTTTTCTGTGTTGCCGGAGGGAAATTCCGTTTAGGCGCAGGATTTCGTCAAACGCACCTTGATGTTTTGCGTTTGTAGTTTGTGTGGAGCATCGGTCATGAATACGTTTCCACTCGTTGCGTATGAAGTTGGTCTTGGTTTTCTTGGGAATAGCCGATCGGTGGTGTACGAACAATGGTTTTTTAGCGTTTTTGCTGTAAAACTCAAAGGAGCTTTTGCCGTCTTTAGAGATGGTAACTTCGAAGTCTAGCAAAACATCAAGGTGCGTTTGACGAAATCCTGCACCTAAATGGATACTCAGAAAGCTAAATACACCACACAAAACAACCCCTGAACCGTAGCGAATACTCTCTCCCTCCCAACACAGGAAAGAAAAAATAGTTATACCTAGCCTGAAGATCCCCTACATCTCCGAACGGCTAGACTACAAGATCACTAACATCTTCCGTAAAGAGGGAACACCCGGTATACGCATCGCACACAAGTCATACACCCTCAAAAACTCCCTCTCTCACAAAATCACCGAGCGTACATGCACAAGAGACAATTGCCCCATCGCACATACCAACCTGTGTCTGTTGAGAATGCAAAAATATCTGCGGTACGCAGTTTAGCAGATATTTGTTTTCTGCACATTCTTACACGGTTAATTAGGTGTGTCATAGCGTTTGTCCTTCGTTATTTTAAGGGTGTCAAGTAGTTTGCATGCGGTTATATAAGTGTCTCGTTCATTCGTATTCATCCTTCGGGTCTGTGAACGCCTACAACCCACAGTTTTAATTTTAGTGTTCACTATGTCCAACGAGCGGCAGCAGCGATCTTCGTTTTAGACCGTTTCCGTTAATGAATACTCAGCCTCTGCAATCAGCCCTTCTATTGCTGGGTTAATTAAGGCTTCCGTTGCCGAGTCTATCGATGCTTTAACCGATAACCTTACGCAGGTTATCGAGGATCGTCTTGGCGGTTTTGCCAAGCGGTTTTCTGAAGAGAATAGTTCCAATGTTGAGCTTGCCGTTATGAAGGCCCGTCGAGAAAGTTATACCTGTAAGAGAAAAGGAAACCAACAGCAGCTGGACCATGCAGTTCAAGTGCTGGACAAATTTGACGAGGCATCCGACGCTTTGAGAGCAGAATCGTACGACAAGGTTAAGGCCGCCTTAGACTCAGGTACTGAGGTCGTTTCTAAGAGGATAAAGGTGATTAAAATGGCCGATAAGAGCGAGTTTGGCTGGTCAACGGTCAATGAGTATCTTTCGGACGAGCTGGCTTCAGACTCTGATGACGAGAAGAGGATGTTTAGGGCGGAGAGAAGGGCCGAGAGAAAAACTAAGAAAAGGCGTCGTCGTTTCCGTCCCGTGGATCGGAAAGAATCTGCGTCTCCTACTCCTACCCCTTCTTATTCTCGTTCAGGACCTCCTTATTCAGCGAGTGGTCAGTCTAATCGAAGGGATTATAGCTCTTCGCAGCGTTTGGGGCCTTGTTTTAAGATAAGTAGTCGACTTTGCTTTCCACTTTAGACTAGCTTTGTTTCACCTTCGGGTTTATGGCGTTTAACTCAGGCCGTACCCAATATTCTCCAGTATTTGTTGCCTATTTTTGTGTCTTATTTTCTAATTACTTCCGGTAAGTGCAGAATGCAAAAATATCTGCGGTACGCAGTTTAGCAGATATTTGTTTTCTGCACATTCTTACACGGTTAATTAGGTGTGTCATAGTGTCTGTCCTTCGGTATTTTAGTGGTGTCAAGTAGTTTGCATGCGGTTATATAAGTGTCTCGTTCATTCGTATTCATCCTTCGGGTCTGTGAACGCCTACAACCCACAGTTTCGTTTTATTTCATGTTTCGCTCGTTTTAGCTAATCAGGTCGCTTAATATATTTTTTGCTCTTTATTTTTATAGTGCGGGAAAGTCGGCCACTTGAATGCTTTTTGTTCCAAGCCGTCCGAGTCTTCAACGGCCAACCCTCGCCGCGTATGACTACGGATGAGAGGGAAGACTCGCATTCTCTCGTTCAGTGTGATTTTCCCTCCATTGGTTTTTCAGAGGAATTTTGTGCCGGCAATGCGTGTGCAGGAGTTGAGGGCCGTTTAAAGTCCTCCGTCGGTTTTTGGGCGTCCGCCTTAGATGCTCCTCAGTTTGTTCTCGATACCATTTCGCAGGGCTATCGGATTCCTTTAGCCAGTTATCCAGCCCCGTGTTTTTTACATAATAATTTGTCAGCTCTTAGGCATCCTGACTTTGTTGTTCATGCAACTTCAGAGCTTTTGGACAATGGCTGTATTACGGAGCATTGAGAGCCACCTTTTTGCGTTAACCCTTTGACAGTGGCGGAGGGCAAGAAGCTTCGCTTAGTAATTGATCTTAGGCATGTTAATTGCCACCTCGTTCGTTTTAAGTTTAAGTTTAAGTTTAAGTACGAGAACCTTAGCTCTCTGTCACAGGTTCTTCATGAAGGGCACTGGTTCATTACCTGGGATCTCAAATCTGGATACCACCATGTTGATATTTCTCCAGACCAGCAAAAGTACCTAGGTTTTGCCTGGCGCTTTTACGGCGTACTTTGGTATTTCACTTTCGTTGTTTTACCCTTCGGTCTCAGTAGCGCCTGTTTTTGTTTTACCAAATTGTTGCGCCCGTTGGTTAAGCGCTGGCGATCTATGGGTCATAACTCTTTTTTTTTTTACCTTGTAGTCAGCCGGAGAAGTTGTGTGCTTTCGCAGCAGCTTTTATTCAGCGGAAGGATCTTGTCTCTTCCGGTCTCCTTGTTAACGAGAAGTCCCAAGCTTAAGCGCCTTTTGGATTCTGTCATCCAGAGCAGGTCATCGTCCTATCGCGAATTAGCCAGGATTGCTGGTTCCATTATTTCAGTGGCATTGGCGGTCGGTCCTATTTCCCGTCTTCTGACCTGGCAGATGTACTTAGCTATAGAGTCCAGGTCAGCTTGGTATCACGTTTTTCTCTTTCCTCCTGCTCTACTAGAGGAATTGAAGTTTTGGTTTTGTAACATTGAATCTTTTNCGGTTCGTCGATAAGGATGATTGGCGTATTAATCCCTCCGTGTTTCGACTTGTAGATGCCAAATGGGGTCCCCACACGATTGAACGTTTCGCTTCCTTTCATAACGCTCAGCTTCCGCGTTTTAACTCCATGTTTGCAGCTCCTGGTTGTTCCGCTGTCGATGCCCTGGCGCAGGATTGGAGAGGGGAGAACAACTAGGTTTGCCCTCCGATGGGTCTCAGTTGTGGACGCCGTTAGATTGCTCTTGGCCTGTTCCGGTTGCGGGACCTTTATTATTCCTGAATGGCCATCGGCCTATTTTTGGCCTCTTTTACGTGACGGACCTTCTCGATTTAAGACATTCGTCAGGGACATTTTAGTACTTCCTGCCATTAAGGACCTTATTTTGGAGGGCCCAGGTGAGAGGCAGGTCTATCAGTCTCGCCCGTCCGTTTTTCACGGTTGCCCAGAATTTAGAATGTTGGCTTTGCGTATGGATTTCGGGTGAGTTTTTGGTACCGTCGCGATAGTAGTTTAAGCCTGATTTGGCGTATTTTAGCTAGCCTGAATTGGCATATTTTGAGCTTGGATTGGCATATTTTGAGCCTGGATTGGCATATTTTGAGCACTGTTGACGTGCTTTGAGTTAAGGTGATCTCGTTGCACGTGTTTGCGCCTCCTTCGGTATTTATCGAAGAAATCGTTTGATTTTCACGATATTTAACTTTTCTTTTAGATGTGCTGAGTTCCGGGATTTGGCTTGAAGCAGCCTCGTTGTCCGATTCTTCTCTGAGTGAGATGGTTCCAGGCCTTATTGATCTGCAATTAGATGCCAAGGCTCCGTCCACAGTGCTAAAGTACAAATCTGGCTGGTTACGGTGGCGCCGGTGGGCTCTGTCCAAGTTGGGTGTTCTCGTAGTTCCGACAAAACCTCTGCATATCGCATTGTTTATCTCTGAGCTAGCTAAACGTTCTTCCGAGAATAGCTTCGGTGTATCTCCTGTAGAATCTGCTATTTATGCTAATAAGTGGGGCCACGCAATGGCTGGTATTGAGGCTTGCCCTGTTAGCCATCCTTTAGTAAAATTTGCTTTAGAAGGCGCCAAAAAAAGGCTCGCCCGACCTGTTCAGCCTAAGGAGCCGCTGTCGGTTAGTACCGTACAGGCGATAGCTGCCCATTTTGCCTCAACCACTTCGCTTTCCGATCTTCGTTTTTTATTTATTCTTTTGGTTGGTTTTGCCGGCTTTTTTCGCATTGCTGTGAAACGACCGTGTGAAAGAACATCTCAGAAGCGTAAACTCATCCGTAAACAAACATGTCGCCGTATGTCAAGGCAAGGATTACAAAGGCATTGAAGTCAAAATCATTACATTGGAGAACGACCCGGTAAACCTCTACTTATTTGAAGCGTTTTACATGAGGAAAAACAAACCTACACTTAACTCCCGAGAGGAATGTATTGAATTCTTGGACCTATTGTTATAACGCCTCCCATATCACACTGGATCCTCTCACAGTGATACAAGCTTATTAGCTCATTAGTATAGTGACACTTTTCTCCCTTTTATTCGGCCCTCTCGGAATATTTAATCTTATCCGTCCCTGATGATGCCGTTGAGCGACGAAAGCTCGGACTTCTACAATATTTTACAGTAATTCAAGGCCACAGTAGCGTTTTGTACTGTTTTAATAAATGCAGTTTTAGGCAATTTTTTCATTTAGAGAGTGTCAAGAGCCATTAAGGCGTAAAACGAATGAGGGTATCGGATCCCGCACCACGAGCAAAATGGCTGCAGTCTTATTCACAAGTCATCAATCAACAAAAGTGTGTCAAGCTTTTCCGATATTCTGATTGGTTTTCTAGATATCCGCATCTAAAGTTAGAGTAGCGTAAAATATGCGAAAGGTCTTGCGTAAATGGACACCACGCACAAAAAATACTTCAAATATAAAAATCTCCTGACACACACTTTCGTTCTCCGGATTTCGTTCTTCTTATCCCTGGAATGTTTTGGCGAAATTTCACGAAAATCGGTCAAATCTACATACCCTATAAATTTGCTCAAAGTGGATGTATTTTTCTCAAAACCAAATGCGAGATTTTAGCTCCTAAAGGTTTGTAAACAACTAGTGCCACACCAGGTCAATATCTCGCCTCCTGAAACCGCGAACCAATGGGAAGGCGGAACCCTACTGGCGTTAATGGCAATTGATGAAGATTTTCCCGGGAAAAGTATCGCATGGCAGTCACGTTTTTTTTTTCATTTTGCTCCGTCGTTGAGTAATGGGCAAAGTTGGCAAAGGAAAAACCCGCGGCAAAAAAGGTAAAGCTGGAGAAACTGCTGAAAAGCAAAGCAGCGAATCGACAGACAGCTTAAGGGATGGATGCCCTTAACGCCGAAATGAGTTCCCTCGAGTAGGTTTATTCATGATTTCATTTGATTCGAGGCGATAGCTTATGTTTTTGTGTCAAGGTCGGTACTTGCTTATTGAAAGGAAACTTCGTTTTTAACCTCATGTACGACAAATGTAGATTTGATGGCGACTTCTTTGTTCGTAATTTGGATGTCAGCATGGAGAGGAATGCCAGGACTGTTTTTTTTCCTGACAAAATGCTGTCATTTCTCTCTTCTTTAAGCCTGTTTTTTCTCTTTCCTTTCCCAAGGACTCCTCTCTACTTTTGATTTCTGTTTTTTTTTTTTTACCATTAAAAAAGACTTCCACTATCAGAGAACTTCCACGTGTGAATTTGTCAAGTGCGTGATGGAAACAAAGTATGAAAATAACATGAAAATCCCGCTAATGTTCTTCCAAGGGGGTTCGCCCCTTTACGAGATTATAACACCTTCCTGATTTATTAATTTTTATTTGAAAATACATTTTTCTAAGTAAGTCGGACGCTTTTTGAGATGTTTAAATTTTTCTGTTGGTAAACGTTAGGTAAAATTTCTAACTTCAATCCAGTCCAATAAAAGAAAAAAGGATTTTTTCGGCCTCTCCAGGTGGAAAGTAACTTAAAATAATTCAGGGATTTGTGAACATGAATTTCAGCTGATGTTTCGTGTTATATATAACGTCCTACATGTTTATCATACTACATGTGGGCTCTCACTTTCACAAAGGCTGGCGTCATGACGAGCCATACCCAATTTCCAAAATTTCGAGAATCTCCGTTAACGCACAAAAAAGTCATCTAAAAAAACGCTTACTTTCAACTTAAAAATATCTGCGTCCTCGTACCATACCTCTTCTTTGCCCATAAGGTCCTTCAAAACTTGTCTTGCCCCCGATGACATTTTCGTCAACAAACTCGAAGATTGGCAACATGGCTTCTTCAACAGCAACTTGCTTGTCCCCTCTGTCTTTGTAATTTTGAAATGAAGCAGCGTTTTCTTGACGAGCCGCCTGATCTGATTCAGTACCTTGGGGGTAAAAACACAAATGTTTGCGATTGAGAGCTGATATCTTTGCGTCAGGCAGTAAAAATGAGAACCATTTTGATTGAAAGCTAAAAATGGAAAGCAGGAAGCAGTTATACTGAGCAAAAAATAAAAACTAACACCAAAGTCTTCAAGCATGTGACGGTCAAGAGGAGGCGAGAAGTGTTGAGCCAATTTCAACAAACTACAAGTGTGCGAAAACATACGAACATAGATTTTTACCTTTGATAGGTCATCGATTCAAGACTCTGCCAGAGATGAAGGTCAAGCCTTACTAAAAAGCTGTTAGATGATTGGAGTTGTAAGAATGCTAATTTACTTTTAGGAGATCATATTATAGTACGCAGGTAAAACCTCCTATCATTCTACTCAGTCAGTACTGCAAAGTTCGTTTTCAACTAAATGACGTAAAAACGATGAAATGGAACGAATAAATTTTTCCCCTGCAGATGATTTTCAATTAAAAAAATAATCCTTGCAGGTGAATCGCAATTATTGAAATTGCAGAAGAGAAGCTTGACAATAATTGAAGCTTCTGTGGGAGTCGATCTCGTGCCTCTCACATACTTGGTTAGGCGCTACTTCCTACTTAGCTACGAAAGCACGTTTTGGAAGCGTGGACCTGTGCATCGACGCCTGAATTTTGGGAGGATCATTTCTTTACTTAACTGATGTAAACACATTGGTTTGGAAGCTACCTTGCGTGCCATCTACAGTTGAGTGTTAGCTCGATCAGATTGAGGTTAAACTTGCCGAGGCAAAGAACTTTCAAGATATCTTTCGAATCTTTTGACTTTCCTAACTGAAAAGATGTAATCTCACCAATACGTCTGTCTAAAGGAACGTCTGTTGAATCAATGGCAGCTCAGTATAGTTTTAAGCCAATTTTGAAATGTCGATGAAATGTCTTCGCGTGAGGCACGACTAATTTGCTCTCATTTCGTCGGTGCTGCAGAAAAACTTAAAATTAAATTATGCTGGCGTTCTTTTGTTTAAACAACAAATATATGAAAATACATATATATGAACTGCGGTTATGAAACGTATATGTGCACGATCCTTCGCAGTAAAGCACTATTTAAGCAATAGTGAAAATCAGGTCTGATTTTCACTATTGCTTAAATAGTGCTTTACTGCGAAGGATCGTGCACATATACGTTCTTTTGTTTGTTTGTTTATTTTCTTTTGTATTTTTGTTTGTTTGCGAATCGTCATTACCACCCTGCCCTTAAAGTTTCAGAATCCATTGTAATTTTTAAATCTTTTTCAAAATCCGGGATGATATAATGGAGATATGGAGACACGGGTGCAAGTGTAGATATAAGTGCTCAACGTCTGTTGAAACAGTCTCAGTTCATGCGGGCGCCAAATCTACCGCGAGAAAATGGCACATTTGGTAGATAAAGAGGTAACCATTTTATCTTTCAGCTTACAGTAAAATTGCAATTAATTTAGCCTATGTGAGGCATAATCTCTTAGGCTTTAATTTCGCGAGAGAAAGAGATGTACAGGCTTAAAAAAGTGGTATATAACTTTGTAATTTGTTTGGAATTGTCTTTTGATATAAACATGATGACTTAGTTTTGCATAACTTATTTATTTCAAATTTAATTATATCTTTTCTTTCCTTTTTCTGTTTATCAGAGAGGGCTTATGAATATGGAAGAAACGGAAATTTTAACGGAATCATGGATAAAATCTTACATCACAATCGGGATACCAGCATTTCTTCAATTCGCTTTGAGGCTATTGATTTCTAAGTACCCAACTACCCCCCAAAGGCCACAATTTAATCACGATATAATCCTATTGTGAAAAAATTTAATCGAAATGATATTTGTGTATCGTGATGACAGCTTAATTGAACAACTTAGAGAATTACTCTCCACGTTAAGTGACCTCTAAGAACAATACTAATTTAGCGCTTGTTTCACCCTACAACTCAGTATTTCTCATCGGCGAAATTATGCTATAGAACCGGCGATATGAGTTAATTTTGATCAGGCTAAGAAAAGCTCTAAATTCTCTTGTAAAATACTTACATGGACGTCTAAGTATAGGTCGAACCGGATGAGTAAAAGATCTCACTGCCTCGATACATGTGTTCATGAGCAGATGCAATTAAGCTCTAAAGCCACTCAGATAAATTAAAGTACTTACGCTTTGAGTTAATTCAAACCGGTAAGGAAAAGAATCCCATTATGTACTCGGAGCTTACTTATGCCTTCAATGCCCTTTTTGCTTTAGCTCAAGTGAAAATCTAATTAACACCTCTAAAGTGTTTATTTTGTTTGTGGCAAAGGTAAGTGTTTTGTAACTAAAACTACAATGAAGTAATTCGAATGAAAACTAAGTACATAATCCTCACAATAAACTTGAACAAGACTTTTGACACAAGAGCCGCCGAGAAAAACGGTATGATTATCAGAGAAAATGCAGTTGAAATGGCCTTATGAAATGATCTTTGTTCATTCATTTCAATCAGGTCGATCAACATGTGACTGTTACTGACATATGATAATGAGATGGTGAAACTATCAATAACAATTTCAACTGAAAGACTGATGAGTGACGCTCTAAACCTTGCGGCCACTGTCAACGGTCAAAGGAATAATAGTCATTGTACTCCACTCTTCTTTGGTGTAATCTTTTTGATTTGTCACAAGATTTGTGTGAGCTGAGGTTTACCACTGAAGTTACCACCTAGTTCGTCGTCGCCGGAAGTCTAAGCCCGAATCAAAAAAGCGGTAAGTTTCCTTACTTCAGTCAAGAGCCTTTTGTGTAGAGCCATGTGTAATGTAAACAGTCTTTCACTTAGCAAAAGTTGTGGGCTTCAGAGTGGAATAAAGTACCCCATCAGAGTTATGTTTTTAAAGAACATTTAGCCAAGGAATGTACATTCTTATGGAATTTTGGACAGCTGAAGCAAAGTTAGCGCCGCTTACGCGGTTGCAACATTATCGCAAAAGCTAAATATCTTTGTGATAAAATAAGTGACTGCAATCACACACTGTGTGATAGTGTCTCCTGCAACAGAACGAATTTATTCTGAATAGTCTGTGATTTGGTTATCTCCTGTTTCTTACCATCACCCACCGTACATCAGCTGAAGGGAACTTTTGTAGAGTACAAACAGATGATGTAACGAGGTGGAAAAGAGACAAGTAGAAGCAAATTATATTCGTACTTGAAACAGAACAATTTCTGTTATTCGCGCAATTTGCAATCGATTGCTTCTCAGCAGTTCCCGTTTGACTTGAAAGCTATAACTAAAGTTGCCTTTGGTAATGATCGTTTTGCAGCTCTTGTAATCTGCGCACATGTTAGTCTCTAAGTGATCATCTTAATTCACTCAACTCTTTGTCTATTAAACAACTCACTCGTGGGTTCTCCAGAAATCTAAGTTATAACTTAAATGCCCTATTATGAGTTCATCATTGTGACGTTTTTTTCATTTTGCCTTCAGCAAATTTAAATTACTGTCTCGCAGTCACCAAGAAAAGTTGCATTACCCGATTTCCATGAAATGGAGTATTATCGACGGTTTTCCAGAACTTCTTAACCATTTTCTTGAGTGCGTTTGTTGGAGCATCTCGATCATAAAGCCAAGTTATGACTTAAATTTCAAAAGTACATCGAAGGGAGCAATGCCTCTGTACGCATGTCTCAAGGGGGAGACAGACCGAAAAAGCATCCGGTCGGGCGTCAGAGAATTCATTAATAATTTGTGTTGTTTGTTCTTTTAGTTTAACGTAATTCATCTTGCTCTAAACTTGCTATTAGCCGACAGTTTAAACCCTTCTGTTAAACTACTCAAAAATAATTGCATGTCCGAACTGAATGCGGTCGTCACACCTGACCTGGTTTTGTTATCGCTTCTCCGATCGGGAACAGATTTCACTCAACATTACAAAGCGGCTTTCAAACGGAGGACTTTCTATTGCGGAAAAATGCTTAATCGGAGTAGCATCATTCAAGCCCTTATAAATTTGATTTAATACAACCCGTAAACTATCCCAAGCTATAAAGTTACATTGGGTTGATTCGCATAGAGTGTTAAGTAAAGTCTCATAACTGCTAAATTAAAAAAAGACTGAAAACTTTAACTGAGACATATTATTACTTACATCAGGCGAGAGCAGTCAAAGTAAAGTTATTGACGCCAGGGTGGATTGGCAGAAGACAAAAAAATTTCAACTGATATGGATATAAATTTTCCGGTAAGATTCAAACAGAGACAACCCAAGTGATAAATAGTCACGTACAAGTGAGAATTATTTCAAAATAATTGACCTTTCATCCAATTGACAATGCAGTGACATGTCATTTACTATGTAATGTGAGTAACGAGCTATTTCTATTTCCTACTAAGAAAAATTTGAGCGAAATTAGAGCCAACGTTTTGCTATCTATTCAGCATTGTGGATTTTTTCATCAGCTCTTCATCCTAGTGTCGTGCCTTTCAGCAAGGTTATCACTGTAAACGTATAATGTTGATGTTAATTTTAGAATAAGTGTCATCAATGCCCGAATAGTTTGGCATATGGTCAAACAAAAATTTACCCATGATCAGCAAGTCAGGTTCCACGATGATGCTTTTGCATCATACTGCCCATCCTGATTTTTCCGCGTAATTCAGCCATCCTTTCTTTCTGTTTGTGTCAATTAATAATAATAATAATAATAATAATAATTATGATTATAATTATAATAATAATAACTTTTATTTCTATAGCGCTCTTATCCTATGTCCAAGGCGCTTTACAACACTGTGCGGGGGACTTTACCAGACTGCCAGTGGCAGTTTACGATCAAAAAAGGCGAATTTTTCACAGATGCCCCCAATTCCCAGTAAAAAGGCCAGACCACAACACAGTAATCTCGTGATGTGAGTTCTTTAACGTCCCCTGCCGATTCAACCCTAATTTCCTGTCGATTTTTATCTGAGAATATTCCCTCAATAAAATGCTGGAGCTCTTTCCCTTGCCCTATCCAGTTCCCCTCCATCTGGAAAAAAATCTCTAGCTCACTTCTGGGGGTTCTAAGCCTGAGGGTTTCAGGCAAAATTCCTAATATTTTATAATTAAGGAGAATGTCTTACTGAAATGTTCTTTCTACATCATACCTCCACCAATGTCATTATAGAGCGACAAGAAATGGAAAACATCCCAACTTCACGGTTGGTGTACCTTAAAGCTGCATTTATGAGTATGGGTAGACCTTTCCGTCAGAGCCCTTTCGTCTCTAAACAACTTCATGATATAGCGGCTTCAATAACAGCGTAATGGAATACAACGTAAATGTTTCCAATTTTTGTTTGCGTAAAAGATTAAAATTGACCGGCTACTTGTCCTCCTTTCCTCGTTTCAAAAATGACGAAAGTTGAAAAATGACGAAAGTTGTAGAAAGCACACCGGATAACAAAGGGAAATTAACAAGCTACCATCCCCTCACGTTTTCACTAACTTGCTCGTCAGTTATAGTAGATTCAAGAATCTTTTCCTCCTATGATTTTCTTGTTTCGACGTACATATCCCTATTCGTTGCTAATGCAACTGACTTGTTAAAGAATGTAACAGACGCAATCTCTGTCTGATTAATGACTTCTGGTTTAAGGGACTGAATTTTCAAGTCCAACGGACGTAAGAAGTCTTCGTGCCGAGTGGCACTGCACATCACTTTGCAGGAGATTTATCATGGACGGTGAATTTTTTCCCAGGTGTTCATCCTGTCACATACTAATTAACTCTCTTTTTATTGTCATACACCTACTCCTGAGAACAAAGCAACGGTTATGTCAACTTAATGAGTTTTTTCTTAAGAACAGAGAGATTTTGTTCTAACTGTTTCCACTCTTGTTTTCACTGGAAGCCGACATTTCTCCGCTCATAATATTGATTTTGGAAATGTACTGAGAGCTCAATTAGGAGCAGAGCTCGATAATAAAAGAAAGAAAGGGATGATAACTCTAATCTCATCCTCTTTTAATCTTGAATCCACAGGCGAAGAATGTATGAAACACTGAGAATATGATAACGTTTTAGTAATTTCGTTGCAATTTTTTCTGTTTTAATCATATCAGCAAAGTTTACTCCGACCGGGCCAGTTTTCAGTACAGTAAGCAAGAACAAGCGAATCCATCGAGTTTTACTCTGCTGGAGGACTCTGGAGAGGTCCAAGGCTTCACCGACTACAATGCGATGTAAATTGGCCACAGCCGGCAATTTTTGTTTACCTCTAATATTAATGTTTTGCGACAAAGTTTAGATTTTTCCTCGAGTCTACCATATATTGGAAAATAAACTTGCTAGATAAAAAAGTACTACCTTTTCTCTGTTGTCCTCCTTCGCGATTACACAATTTATAGGATGCTTTTTTATCTCTGCAGGTCTGATAAAAAAAGCTTCATTACCTGCAGTTTCATTTTTCCCAATTCTTACTTGCAAAATACGCACCAGCAATACTGAATAAAAAGTTCATCAAAACTCGTAACTAATTTAATTAAAATAATGCTCAATCTATGGCTTCTTAAACTGACAACTTTTCTAATCTTGTTCGTTCTTTTTTTTTAAAATATCTTTTTAATTTCCACACAATCGTATTTTCAAATTGCATCACCTCCGGTTTGCTCTATTTAACAAACTCTTCTCAGCCGGATTTTAAACTCGTTTCTCGAAGCCATCTAATCAGAGTTGTCCTGAATGAACAAATTAACAAAGGACACAAACACAATTCGAATATTGAAAATATCGAATCCCTTAAGTAATCGGTACAAATCTCCAGAAACCTGTTTGGCTTGACCGAATCATTCTATTCCAGAACTCTGGTTTTGAAACAACAACTAGTTAGTCAGTTTAACTAAATTTCGAAACGATGTATGACAAGGTATTACTCTATGAAACCTGAAAATGGTTCTCGTTCATCGGAGCAGCAGACATCGGTCACTTAATCTAATCATCTGATTCTGATCGTGACTGTGAACGCAGTTACTTCTCCAAAATTAAATTTGTACAAGAAACACAATTTTGTCAAGTGGTAACGTTGATGAATTTGATGCAGCCTTCTTTTCGGTTGCTAGCTCCAACACAAGCTGGTAGACTTGGTTTGGTTGGAATCAGTTTTAACTAAAATAGGTAATATATCCAACCATATACCACTGAATCTTTTATTTTCATGGTAACAACAACGGTTTTCACCAAATTATGGGAAAACCCGGCAGTGTGTCCGCATGAAACACAAAATTTCACTTAACTAAGAACCAGCTTAAAAACGATAGCGTCCTAGACCCACCATAGATATTTGACATTTCTTAACTTTTTAACTAAAAAATGCTTCACAGAAGTTGTATTTTTTTGGACCTCTTATAAACCTACTTAACCGAAAAATGGTCCCAAATTAGAATTCTTACCACGCCCGAATGACTCCATGCCTGTCACAGCCTCGACCAAAGGGAAAGACTCCAAATGGAAGTGTACGGAGAGCAGACGCTCGTCTCTCAGGATGTGCAACACTCGACACTAAGCTTACTTAGGATATATCAACAAAGTTGAAATGGTAACTTGGCCACCGTAACGATTACAAAAGCTGACGTTTCGAGCGTTAGCCCTTCGTCGGAGCGAATAGAGGAATNTTTTGTAATCGTTACGGTGGCCAATTTACCACTTCAACTTTGTTGATATATCCAAATTATTTCGTTACTCCCACCGACGCAGCTCCAAACAGTTTCTTTCGAAACTATCAGCCTTTATTCTCTAAGCTGACTTAGGTTTGTAATCATCAGCTAGTATCTTATAAATCCAACCGACGAAAACAAACAACAATAAAGTTAATCAAACAGGGCAACTCTACAATGGCAACTTACAATAAAAGTTGTAACGCAATAAACGATCACATTTACATAACCCATGAACTGCGTCGACTCTTCAACTCATCAGGCAATTTGCGATTTGTGACCTCAATTTACTAATCAATGAATTAAGTTTGCAAGTTGTGGAAACTTTGTAGAAACTTTTGACACGGTGCTTAAACTTAATTAAATCGCTCAACTTTGTTTTTTAATTTTGAGCTGGCCATGGCAGTGTCTTTGTTTAACTTCGTACATCTAAAAACGGCGAAATGTCTTTTGTTTTTAGATTAATTATTTTGTTATTTAAGCACAGAGAAAGATATGTTATCCCTTTCTAATTACTCATAAAAACCCCTTGTGCTCATGAACAGGGCTGTTGAGGAAATCAACCTTTTACAACTCTTCTGGTTATTGGAGTGACGTTCGTGTTTCCATTTACACCACACAAGAGGAGCTAGTCCCGCCATTTAGGAAGGCATCTTTTTGGCCCTTGTTTCTCGGATCATTTTAAACAATCCGTAGACCTTTAAATCGAACGTCAGGGAGGAGAACTTTGCCATTTTCCCGGTTACAGAACAGCCGGGGATCGACCCTAAGTGACCTAAATTCGTCGATGGTCGGGGTATTGAAAAAACGGTTTTAATAGTGACCAGTGGGCGAGATGTGTTTCGATGTGACTGGACATTTCTTCACTTTCTCATAATTCAGCGGAATTTTCGTCAAACAACAGAGAATACAAATAAGATTTCGAAATCCTAAATGCAAATCACCGAACGTAGCGTATACATGCTGGAATAAAAATGACAATATGCTTTCATTGTTGATTCAGTCTGTTCAACTCCTCTGCAAGACAGATAGGGAGCAGAACACTGTGTCAAGTGGCGAGGGGCGTCAGGAAAGGTTTCTGATCATGTACTCACTGGAAAATGTGTTTTTATCGAAATAATTTAAGTTAATTTATGATGAACATGTATAATGATGATAACTAGCCTTTAATTCATAAGAAAACAGACAAAAATCATTTTTAAATTATCATGCTTTTCTTAAAAGGCCTAAAAAGAGGTCACAATGTCAAAGCGAAAACGTGACTTCCCTTCGAAGATGCTACAGCTGAGCGAGTACAGACCGTTTCCCTTACACGAAGCAAGAATGTCACGGAGTTCTAAACTTGAACAATCAAGTTATTTAAAACTCTCTAAACCGCATACCGCTCAAGAGGAGGGCGGTCCAAGAAATTGTGGCAAGTACATGAGCCCTTCAAACTGAAATTGTGTACTGTGCTCTCCGATCAATCAAAAGAGCCTCAACGGTATTCTTTTGCCCTAAGGGTGTCTTGTGCTTGGCAAGAAGAAATGGCTTTTTGAGACATGCTTCACTTAGACAATGTCTCTGAATAGAAAAAATTTCCATTTATCTCAAACGAGTAGTTCTATCAACATGTTTCTTACCTAATACCAGTCAGCTGTACGTGCTATCTTGCCTATTTACACCGGCATGAGCTTTTTATTAAAGCTGATGACGCTCACGTCGTTAGCTCAGGGTAAACAATTTTGCGACTTAATCATTTCGTAAAAGAACGAAGAAAATTTTCGAAAAAAAAATCGAACTTTTAATCTCGCCCTTCATTGGGGCTGTCAGATAACCAGTGATTCTTACGCGAAAACACATAAAATTGAATGATTTCGCATCAAAATAGGCAATCATAATTGGCTTACACTGTACGCCAGGCTAAAAATTTCCCCTTACGTGTAACGTCTAACGTTACGTCTCCCCGTTAACGTCTCCCCTTACGTCTAACGTGTCCAACTAACAATGTACTGTGCCCACTCTTAGTAAAAATTTTTGATATTTTTAAACTTCTGCTGGGTCTTTGACTTCAACTAATGGCAAAAGCCATACCTACCTGTACTGCTTTCTGAATACAAGTGTTTATCTCACATACGTCACTGCATAATCATGTTTTTAAACTATGGAAAAGACTCACCTGAGAAGTTTTCAACGAGTGTTCTTTGTGGAGCTAAGACGAGGTGAACATCTATCCATTTGACACGCCAGCGATACTTGAAAATGGTTGAATAAGAAGCTAATGATATGAAAATATACGCTATAAGAAACCAAGACGTTTAGAGTCACTGCCAAATTTACTAGGAGCCTGTCGCTTAATAGTCAAGAGCACAACTTAGATCCTACGCAGTATTGCATGAAAAGTAAATTGCGTGATCAGTCATGGCTCATTTGTAATCACATGATTTGTGTCTGTAAAGCAAGAGCTCGTTTCGAATTGTGACAAAACTAACCTATATGGCTGTTCAAAATTTGCCAATATAATAAGACATTTTGAAGAAACAAACATATTTTACATTGTTTTTCCTTTCTCTCCCAAAATAGGCAAATCATGGCTCGGTTCAATTCTTGTATAGCCACCATCTGTCTGGTGTGTCCTTATGACGACCCATCGATCAAACAATTACAAATGTCGTGCGTCCACTTTTCCGGCGATTAGGAATGGGCTTTTGCCGCTGGCAAAATTCTTACTTAATTTAGACTATTTTTGATTAAGCTGAAAAGTCACGGGCCATGTTTCCAGCTTTTATAAATAATTGCATCACTTTGGCTATACATTGGTTTGCAGACTTACCTGTGATCCCTCTTTTTACTGCGTAAACAAAGACGTGAAAACGAGTACATTATGAATACGTTCAGTCATTGGTAAGCAGCTAATAATTCTAGATTTTACTTTGCAAGCAACGTAGAAAGTATACTCAAAACATCCACGCAGAACGGTAGCAATAAAATTTGATCTTGAACGAGAAATTTTGATGACGGAAACTCTTACTTGTACTTGAATTCTAAACTTGTCGAAGAGGTCTTCTAACGACTCTCCAAACGTGATCAGAGGAACGACTTCCCAACGGAAGAATTCGTCCGAAAAAAAACGAGGTGTCTTCCACAAACACTTTCCAATTGAGTCAGCATCTCTCAAGTTTTCCGTTTAATAGACTTTCATACTTTCATGAGCACATGACACATTTTTCAGCCAATAAGAGATTACCTGGGATCATCTCTTCTTCAGTCAACAAGTCAATGGGCTATAACAATGACTCTGGGCCTATATTTCAGAGGATGACAGCACAGCACAAAACCGAAATATTCCTCAAATGGCTCAGCAATGAGTTTAAGCTGTAATCTGTAATCGTAACCAATCATTCCCGAGTTAATTCGGTTTTATCAACTGAGTCGATAATGTAAATTGGCCACCGTATGGAGTTTTAAAGTTGACGTTTCGAGCGTTAGCCCTTCCCTATTTGCTCTGACGAAGTGCTAACGTTCGAAGCGTCAGCTTTGAAACTCTTTACGATGGCCAGCTTACATTATCAACTCAGTTGATAAAACCAAACTACGTTGTTACCCCCATCGATGCAGTACCACGGTTTCTTTAGAAACTTACCCGGAGTTATTCCGGAGTTAGCCTAAATCTTTGCTCGTCACGTGAACTATTTGGATTGTGGTTCGATTGCATGGACATGACGAATAAAACGTTTGCTCGATCTCTGTCTTTAGGGGATTTCTTATTTATCACAAAGAGAACTTGATTCAATAAAGCTTTTTTACGAAGACGCAAGAGGAATAAACAATTAGAACTGGGGAGACCTTTAGGACAATTAGAAATTACGAAACTGTAGAAGAATGATGCCCAATGATAAGGAAATTACAATCATTGTTAGTTACATTAAAGATTCTATACTCCAAATGATCAACTACGTCACGTGAGACACATAAATAGAATTTTCCGGTTCAGTACAAAGGTGTCTTTCCACAAAATATCAAATTTGTTCGACTTCATCAAAAAATAAAATTGTTGAACGAACAAACAAACAAATAAACAAACGCTCTGAAAACTATAGATGCTATCTCAAATTGTCACGTTACATTTCTCTGGCAAAAATATGGAGCAAGTAACGAAATGTTATATTTTCTCGACTATAGCCATGTTGGAATAATTACACATTAACAGAATATTTTTCAATACGTTTTCATCCAGTTAAAAGTCATAAAAGTTGGAAGCGACAAACCGATAAGCTTGGCTCCGTGTAAGGTACTGTTACGCGCTTTTAAGCATATGTTTTTTGATAATTAACATATGACATGTCGATGAAAGTAAGACGGAAAGGCTGAAATGAGTTCACTATGAGTACAAGTTGCTTGGTTGTTGTGAGTGCCAATATCTGTCTCTAATATTGGCTCTTTCATTTTGATATTTTAGTTATAAGCCCTCCGACACTCTTTTTTTTCCTGTACTTTTTGCGTCGCGAAGCCAAAAAAATTGAAATACGAATAAACAGATCAAACGAAACATGCAATATTTGGGCGCTTTTTACTTTCATTACTTCGGGTATCCAGTACAGACGCACAGAACGAAACATGTTGCTACCGTTTGAAAGTCTTGCACAATTTGAATGATTGAACTTGGACCATCTTTCAGGGATTTAAAAGTTCTAGTCTCCTCGCAAACGCCTGCTTGCCCGGGTGCAACATTCCTTTCAACCAATCAAATTAACCTTCTAAATCTGGAAAGATATCGTGGGAAAGGCAAACAAACAATTGGACTGGGTAAAGGAGTGCGTCAATTGTCGTAATCGATAATGACAACTAAAAACGTATGTGAAATCGTGCGACTTTGCGAAGTTGAGTCATCACTTCATAAGTTCTCAAATGTGGGTTGCGGTGCTCATTTTATGTTGTTCTCTCGAACAGTCTCAGTTGACTTCTCCTTACTTCTCCAAGCTAAGTCAAAAGTTACAAAAACCGTGAAAGGTTCAGTGGAGAACTAGTGCCACGGGCATTTGTGAGGGAAGGGGGGGGAGGCAACGATTTTCTAAAAAATACGGCATGTTTCCAAGGTTAAGCAAGAATAAAGAGGATTCTGTTCTAAGGAAGCGTTTGAGTCTCATCGATCATATTGGCTCAGGTAGCTCCGCTGAAGTCTGAAACTTATTTTTGAAACTCTTACTGCGTTTGTCAGGTTAAAATCAGTTTGAGACAGCTAAATTATTTATTTAAAATTGCATGGCTGTAAAAAAGAGTAAAATTCTTTGGTTTTAAATTTCCATAAACTCGTTCTGGAAAGAAGTCAGTTATATAAGTATATTGGCCACGTTCTTTCCTTGCGTGATCAGTGATGCTGATAAACAAACACGCTAGAAAGAACTTGACCAATATATTTACAATCACTCAACCTCACGCAAGATCGAATGTAGGTGTAGATAACCAACGAAAAATTCTGAACATTCGCACCGCTGTAATAAAAAATAATCGTCGATGCTTTTAAAACCACGTGAACAAATAAATCCAAAATGACAGGAACAAAGGGATATAAACAAGAGATGTTTTGCAAATACTTTTTGAAGAGGGGAACTTGCATTGAAGCAACAACGCCGAGAACACAGCCAGGGGAAATTGTGAATTATTTCCTGTTATTCGACTCTGCCCAGTTTGTTGCGGATGCAACCTTCAGCTCCCTGAACGCTGTGCTTAGAAAAATAAAACCTTTTATTGGAATGTCTCTCAGATCAACATACAAGTGTAAAGGTTAGCATTAAAGTGCTACTGCGACGAAATTTTTGCATTTTATTTTCCCAATTTTCTGGTTNTTTATTCCTTCTTTCCTGCGGAACCAGAAAAACAACTCTCTCTCAGCATACCAAATTAGCCACGTTTGTTGAGTCGTTGACGCCACTTCCGTTCTCGACCCAGTTTCTTCTTCTTCGCGCGGAGTTCTGTAGTTCGAAGAATGGCGGCCGTTTAGATCACGAATCTACAGGGAAAATAATATTACTTCTCGATGGAGTTTTGCCTTAAGATTTGGCAAATTTGTTACTTAGGGTAAATACTTTCAATCTCTGAGGAGAAAAGAATAGGTTCATTTTTAATCGCAGTAGCACTTTAAAGCGTTAAAATGCCACCTGTTCGTAGTTTTTATGGAAGTAGATTTATGATGCATGCCTTGATTCTAGTATGGTGGTGAGGGGAGTAATTCCACCTGAAGAATACTGGATGCCCCCTGCGTATTAAATACTTATTCAATAATTTGGAACAACTCAAACAAAAAGGCGCCTATGAACAATTTCTGTTATCTCCAGTCAAAACTACTTTCAACATTGTCTATTTTATATTTCTGTAGTTCAGCGTCCCTTATTCTATCGTCTATCTTATCTTCAAGCCACTCACTGACAGTATTATTACTGTATATTTGAGACAACAGATTGGATGCCTCGTCCTTCAATTGACGATATGCATTCACAGCTCTGAAATTGAGAAAAAGTTATGGAAGTCAACATGTAATGTTAGTGTTACCTTTCAGAAGAAAAAATTAAAAAGAACGTTCTTTAAAATGACCAGCGGAAAATTAGATTCACTACATGTAAATATCACATTGCACTATAAGTGGAACATTATATATAAATTCTTCGTGAGTCTGGCGTTGTTTCAAGTCAGAACTAAAATTTCATTTGAAATATAATCAGTTAAACTCAAAAAGTTAACATTAAATTTGAAATAGCTGCGGAATTTGCATGCATTACCTGATATGAACAAATCCGAAATTGTCTTTCCTCTGGTAATTAGCATTGACTTTATGCAGACTGAGGGTTAGCACATTGCGGTTGCCATTTTGAACGAAGGTCTATAGACTCGAGGTATTCTTTTCCTGCGAGTCCCTCCCCCCCATTTGTGACCCAAAATTCTCACGATGAAAGCCAATGGTTTTCCCAGAAGATCGAAGAGAACGCGCACATTTATACAATCACCGATACCCATATTACTCCTCAGAAGGGCTACTAAAACAGATTAAGTGCGGCCCTTTTCAGGACATCAGTTATTCTTTATCAGAAATATAAGGAGATTTAGGTCTACTCTGGAACCTTAAGTTGCCTTAAGTCGCCTTAAGTCACCTTAATAATTTGGATATATCAACAAAGTTGAAATGGTAAATTGGCCACCGTAACGATTACAAAAGCTGACGTTTCGAGCGTTAGCCCTTCGAAAAATTAAGTCGCCT